GGGGGGCCTTCTAGTTTTGTATTCATCTCAAATTTGGCATTGACTCTGGTCATATGTTAAAGCCATAGCTGTTTGAAAGTACTTACAGGTCTTACAACCTTATATGATAGAATTTTACATATTCTAAAGGTGGTGATTGATGACTTGGGAATGATAATCTTAGTTGTTTGAGTATGCTTAAAGCTTATTTCTGGTATGAAAATATACAAGCGATAGTCAATTGGACGGTTTGGTTAATCTTTTGTTTTAACCGCTAAACAAGAAACAGGGAAAGAGTAAAAAATGGGACAATGACGCCAGGGGGAAAAACTAGTCAGGAAAATACAGCCAGCAGGGGCAGCCATTACAAAGGAATATGCTGACAGCGAAATTGGAGTAGGGCATTGTCATTTTCATGCACGTTAACAGAACAATACCGAAGGAAACCAAGATGCCGACTGGCCAGCAATTATCAGCCATATAAATTGTGCAGCTTCAAATACGAATTCTTTTGTTGTACTAATCAGTTTCTCAGGGTTACCTCTACAAGTAGGTTGTCATCCTGCTCCTGAAAGCACACCATTACCCATTCAAAGTAAATGATTGGTAAACAGATGTTGGTTAAATACATCGGTTGGCTGCAGAAAATATCCCAATGTTCTTAAAAAAATTTTCCCATCAGATTTCTATATAAAATATCTTAAAGCAACAAAAATGGTCAACAGAACCACATGAAATTCTATTGTTTGAAATTCAAGTCTGATCAGAACATTGGATCACATGCATAACAAGTTCCAAAGGTATTTTTACATGTTTTGAAATCTAAAACTATCTGCTGCAGCAAGTGTCCCATAGCTTTCCACTTCTATAGGATCAATCCTTAGCTTCATTTCTTCTTCAGTGCTGCTAGCAGAAATTGAGAGAATGAATGAATGAATGATTGAAACTTGAGAATTTGACATCTTATATGTTTTAAGACACAATCCATGCCGTACACTTCACAGAACTAAGACCAGAAACGTTTTCACAAATATCAGTGGAAACTTGAGTCAAGCTCATCAAAATTTGGCTTTGTAAAGTAAAGACTGTACAAAAGGAAGCATAGGAAGCTTTGGACAGTACATACCTAATTATCATAAAAGCGGGAACGACGTCTTCGAGAACTGTGAAATTCATGAACAAAAATAGATAAACTTCAAAGAAAAATAAGATCATAAAACCAGTAACTGCTGTCATGTTTTTCTAACAGACTAAAAATGTCAATGAAATAACTGCATTCATTTAAATACAACCGATAATGTGGACTGTGTGGTGCAGTCATTACTCAGTAGCCAACAGCAATAACACATGGGAAATCAAACTAGTTTGTATAGCTCGCAGCTGCAGCAAGCACAATTATGAAGCTGAAAGATACTCTTTCATCTTTTTAGTACTTGTTGCACCACAAATTTGGTTTATTCCAAACTTCTCATTAGAAACAAGATCCATTCATCGGGAATTTGACCTAAGCCCAACAGCACAAGCTCTTCTAATGCAGGCCAAACATCTCATTAATTATGTAAAAGATTTGTCTTTATGATATCTTCAGGAGACACAAATGATTTCACAAATAACACTTCCAGGTAGAAAACCAATCAAAAAGACAATAAACCATGAGATGCTTTTTGACATCTGGTCCAACATAAGGAACTGTTTTTCTGTTATGCCCATTATAATATCTTATTTCCAAAACAAGAAGTAAAACTAGAGATGCATAGAACAATAGAACATCTAAGAAAGGGAATTGGAAGAAGAAAAAAAAAACCACTGACCTCCGATAGGCAGAGCTACCTCTCGAGGGGGCACTTGTGCTAACAAACTCATCATCAGTCTCATCTACTCTATATTCTGCAAATTCTACAGAAGCCACTGAACCCTCATCAGAATTTGATGAAGCATAGCTAGAGCGGCGACTTCCCCTTCTAGTATCTGTGACTCTTGATCTCCTTCTATTTCTAGAATTCCTGAAGTTATCAAACATCTGATATAAAATACAAGAGGTCCACCAGTTGCCCTCATCACCAGGGAAGTCCTCAAACTCATCTCCAGAATCATCTTCACCATATTCAATTACATAGTCTCCAAGAACCACTCCACGTGGGACTTCTGAATGTATGGTGCTCAAAACATCTATTATCTCAGAGGACTGCTGAAAATTCTCCCAATCAAGCTGCCGAGCAGGATCAATTCTCGAAGGACGAGCATGAGGGTGTTCTAACTGAGCATGTTTCCTTAGTTCCAAGTAGCTTCCTGCAAATGTGCATTGTTCCTCCTCACAACAACGCTTCTTCTCATCTAGATGTAGACGAGCCTTATCAACAACAACCCATCCAGTGACTTCCCCTCTACATAAGGGACAAGTCGGCCTGCAGTTGTCTTCAGATACCATTAGCTGAATGTTTGTTGTAGAAATTGTATCAGATGTTGAAGGAGATGACATCCCATAAGCTATTTTGAACCGATCCAAACAATTTGAATGCAAGTGGTCTGTGTCACACACAAAAGGACGGCAGCCTTTCTCGTAAGATGAGCATTGAAGGAGTACACCATTGTGGGGGAAATCCAAACATATAGGACAAATCACGTCATCCCAATTGGTATTCAACTGAACATCCTCCATGTAAGAATTATTGGGTTGGAGCCCTCGGGTTTTAAAGGGTTTGAACGCCATAAGAAACAACTTACATAATAAACTACAAGTACATGGCATGCACCTCTCTTATATGACAAACGTAGATTAGATCAGAAAGAACTTTTTGGACAAACCAACCAAGCTTCGAGGTGTCAAAGAAGAAAAATCAACTGGTGATCTACTATATGATGCCAACTAAGATGCTGCACATAGCAGAAGAAAACTGTAAGTTGCAGTTGTTAACATACTCCTAAGGTCAATGGAAAGTGGCAACAGTTTAAATGCGTCTAAAATCCAAACACAAGAAAGAGGAGGATGGAAGATCCTTTAATTAATTTACAACTAGTACAATCTTAAAACCAATCAACTTATCAGATGCGTGCCATAGCATGGAACTGATCTCCAAACGGAGTGAAGTGGTCATAACCAGATAGACACTAGTAATGATATTAATTATTATTTTATTACTATCATCCAAGTTAAAAATCACGCCATCCAAGTAGATTCCGATTGATACCAGAATTGTAAATAACGAAACACTAGTATAGCAGAAAACGAAAGAATAAAGAGCGTAGGCAATCACGAAAACGATCAAACACGCAGTAAAACAACTGGATTCATCACCTCACCTAAAAAGAATTCATCAATAAAAAGTAAAACGAAATGATCAATTGGGTATTCAGAAAAATGAAAAAGGAGTCCATAAAAGCAACAATCTTTATCAAAAGATTACACCCAAACCGGCAGTATTAATAGAACTAATAAAAAGAAAAGAAAAATCAGCAAGCAATCATGGGTACCTACCATGTGAATAGAAAAAGAGCTTGGGAAATCAACCAAATTTAAAAGCTACCCACTGAGCATATTCAAGAAAAAAAAAACAAAAGGAAAAAGAAAGAGGAGAAGTGAACAAAATTGGGCGCTCACCTTGGATGTACTTGTTTAGAAATGGAAAATGGATATAACAACAAAGAACAAAAAAGGATCGAAAATTTCAGAAGACAAAAAAAAAAACAGAAAAAGCAGAGACAGAGAGAGAGAGAGACAGACTTTGCTCCTCTTCCCTCTCTGATTAGATAGAATTGAGAAAGGTCACTTCTTCTTTTTTTTTCGTAGTTGGTAGCCTCTTCCTGGTGTTGTTATATACTAGCACTATTTTTTATATATTGTTATAGTAATCGGGGAGAGGGATAAAAAAGGAAAACTACTGTTTATGGTACGCATAATTCCCTTTTCAATCGCTTGACGTAATTGCCCTTTTCCATTGACCAACCGCGCCTTGCAACTTGCCACCTTTGTAATGTGGACACGTTAAGTAACATGTCTTTCTTTTCTTTCACAAACAAATTCGAGATTTTAGTTTATTTATTAAAATAAATATTCAAAAATAGATGAAGATTTAAGTCAAACATGAAGGAATACAACATACAGTTGCACTTTCACGTCCGTCAAAGTCAAACCCAGGTATTTTCTTTGTTAATTAATTTGTATTAGTAATTAAAAATTTGCTACTGGGGGTGCAAAGCTGATCATTTTTGAATGAGTTTTTACCATTTTCTGTTAATTATAATCACGCTGAACTACGTGACTGGTTTTTGATTAGATATTTTCGGTTGGATTGCTTTAAGCAAAAACCAAGCATAAGAAAATCGTACACTGACTTGGAAAGGAAAACCCAAGACGAAATTGCTTCCACACTCCTTCTAAGGCTCATGCAAATCTGTTTACACATGTTTTTATAACTAAAACCAGTCGTTGACTGTCGGGTCATTTGTTCCTAAGCAGTTCAGGCAGGAAGGTAATATGTACACGACACTGGCTTTGCCTTGTCTGGACAACAAACATGGTATGGTAGGAGAATTAGCTAAAAGGTGCAACCAGGACCAGGTAGAAGATATGCATATTTCTATAAGCCTTAATACTATATAAAGAATCAATCAACCTGATTATACAACCGACCAGAAATGGTACAGACTAAGAGCTCTAAATCTGTCTCTACAACAACCATGGCGTAACAAGCCGAACAAAAGAATGGCTTTGTCTTTCTCGACATTTATAAGTACCTTCGTTGTGAATCTTGAATAGTAGTACAGAAACTTGTCTCTAACCAAGGTGGCCATTCACCAAGAAAGGAAGTCTAATGGTTGAAAGCTGTTGAAGTGTACGACCACACGTGAAACTATTACTGCTCCTCAACATTCGAGTCACGATGCCCACAGCAACCGTTCTTCCTAATGTCTAAGAAACACCCTCCAAGGGCTTTGCATTTGAAAACTCTCTAGGCAAACCGGTTCATGCAATATCACCTGAAAGTAGAGAAATAAGCCAAGTTGAAACCAGATTTGGCTGCAATTATCAGGCCAATAACTCAAATAAACCAGCAACTAGTAACAACAAAAGATATCATCCTCCTCACTTGCCTCAACTACTGCACTCTGCTTAGCAACAATGCAGCGGGGTGCTTTCTTGTGACTTTCCAGTCTTTGAATCAAGTAATGAGATATTTTGCAACTCTTGCAGCCTCCTTTGCATGGTGTATATGAAACTCCAACTGATTATTCCATTCAGATTGTTGAACCGTTTACATGAACCAAAACATTTCAGACAAAAAAGTACAAAATGTACAGAGGAAGCTTGCCTGAGAACCGATTAAAATTGGGGTTGCACCATCCAAGACAAGCACCTTCAACTCCAAATGTTTTGCTATTGCAACTGGAAAATCAGGGTGACATAACACACCACCAGCCAACACGAGATTTCCATCTATTCCATGCAGGTTGACAGCTACATTGTCCCCAGCTCTTGCAATTGTACAAGCCTGGGAACCACGCTCTAAGGAACGCACCGTTGCTATATTTGCAGATGGCATGACTAAAACCTACAATCACACACAACGAGTTTATGGTTAAGGATGATATACATGTTAGTCTATTAAAACCAGAAATCGATATCATTGGTAACTGAAAAGGGACTTTTGGATAGGTAATATCAATCAAACAAAGCCAGCAAGGCAAGACGGGAAACTGAATTCAAACAACTTTATCTGCTCTTCTAGTAAGAGGTGACAAGAAATCCCCACACATGGTCTACCTTTGATCCACTTCGAACAGCTCCAGCCTCCAACTTGCCACAAGCAGACACCTGCCCCTGTGAAGGTGATCTTATAACATCACATATAGGAATAAGTAGAGGCTTTGAAAAATCTCTTGTAGGAGGTTGGAAGGAATCAATTGCATCTAATAGATAAGGTCCATGATACCTGCATGAAAATTACCAAAGTCAATTCTACAACATTTGCTGTGTCAATGGGAAATCATGAAGAAAATTCCAACAAATATTTCTTCAGATAATGTAGTATCGCTTCTAAGTTATAGTGAAATTTAATTATATAATTAACAGGGAAATCCATGAAATATCTTATGTAATGAACACCACCATGCTACATCTTGTAATTTAAATTCAAACCCCAGCGTGCTTGTTTGAACCTAAGAGAGGGTGTTAATCAATGAACAAGAAGTTGCCTTGCAATGTGATCTGCGCAACTGACACATAAAATGATAAAATCATATTTGTCCTCCAATAATAGTATTTAACTGATAACTTGCTACTCTTTTTATCGTCGTTCTCCTCAAATGTATCTATAATTTTTGAGGCCAGTGCAACTGCAACACCAAATATTCCAGAGTCAAGTGTGCATTCAAGTTTTGACAGTACTCACTTCATCAATAGTAATAAGGGCAGACCATATCTCCTACCTTGTGAGACCAAGATTACATAATAGGCCATTACAAATAGGGGATGACAGGAACTAATAAACAGACAAATTCAACTATAGACTTATGGGCGATACTTATATTTCTCAGAACAGGTACATCAAGTGCAAACAGGGTGGGGCTTAGCTATAAATTCTCATTCAGAATTTGACAAAGGCTTAGCTTAGTCTAGATTTAGCTTCAACTGTACCAGGCAAAGCCACAATTGAGCAGCCAACTAATATCATCTCCCATGAACATCTAGCTACAATATTTATTTCCCCACAAGTTTTCAATAGGATCCGTTAAGATTCGATTTTTTCTCTTTTTGCTGGTCAATAGGGACTTAACAACATCCAAGTTCTAAAAATATAGTAACTTCAAATACATGCAAGAAGAAACTCACCAGGATAAACGAACATCAGAAGGTGCAGCCACTAAATTCTGATTTTCTACAACACTCAGTGGAATCCATGAAACAGAGGAATCCTTGAAACCACAAGAGCGGAGAAATGTCCAAAGCTGTGATTTTAAAAAGTCAAATCGATTCTTAGAATACTCTACAGTATCCATCTTGTTAACTGCAACTATAATTTGATCAACACCAAAACTTCTGATGAGTTGTGCATGCTCCCTTGTCTGTCCCTTTGTGCCGTCCATACCAGCTTCAAATGAACCAATAGAAGCATCTATCACAAGAATTGCAGCATCAGCTTGTGTTGCTCCAGTTATCATGTTTGGAACAAAATCTTTGTGCCCTGGGGAATCAAGGACAACAACATGATATCGTTTTGAATCAAAATAAGCCACAGCCACAGTCATAGTGATTCCCCTTTCCCTTTCTTCAGCGCTCTCATCCAATGCCCAAGCATAAGCAAAGGATCCTTTGCCCTGATTGAATAGCAAACACAAAAATAATGAGATTACAGACTTGTGTTCACATAAGCACATGTAGAAAATGGCCGGGGAATTACCTGCAATTTTGACTCCTTTTCATATTTGTGCATTTCTTTTGGGGATATTCGTCCCAAAAGGTGAAGCAGTCTACCAGACAGTGTTGATTTTCCGGAATCAACATGCCCAACCTAAGATGTAGGAAGAGTTAACGTCATAACAACTATGTTAAAATTAAAAAAGAAAAAAAGATAATGACTCTTAAACTTTTAAGATCATTAGACTCAAACTTTAACTTACAATTGCAAGATTCAGTTGAGTAAGTGAATCTTCTGCTTTTTCAGGGAACATCCACTCTTCAGGTTTATACTGAGCATATGAATTTGCTCTTCCAGCACTTGTATCATTTGAGTGCCCGGATTTAGCAGCCAAAGACATGTTTTTCAGATTACTGGTGAGACTATGTGCCTCACCTCCATTCCTTGAAGAGCTGCTATTATCCACCATATTATGTATTTCCTTTGGCATCAATGATGACCTTTTATTACTGAATCGCAGATTATCTGCAACAATGCTTTCATCCACAATATCAATCCTGCCTTTTGGCATTGGTGCAGAGGAGTTATCTGAATTTCTGGAACTTGATAGTGCATCAACTTCTAAATTCTTCGAAGAAATTATCTCATCCAGTCTATTGTGCTTGTCTTTGACTGTTGAGTCATATGAACTACCTGACCTTTTAGTACTTAATTGTACTTTAGCTGCGTCATTCTTCCGAACCACACTTGAGGAAACTTTGGAAGATTTTGAGTCAAAAATGTTGGCTGTAAGTGAAAGACAGAATAGAAATAAGATAAAGACTAAACTTCAACATAGCATAAAGAAAAAGTTTTCCACAAGATCCATTAACTCCAGGCCTGTTTTAGAGATGTTGAACTCTAATACATAAACACACGCTTAGAACACTAAGAAAACAAACATGTATTACATAAAATAAAATCAGCATTTATTTAAAATGCAGACTTGCATATGCATATCAAGATGCAGAGAGATATAGTTCTGATGCAATCCTAATACACCAGCAGCAATCACACAGGTATTACATAATGTGCTATACCTTACTCCAAGAATTCATTCTAATAAACAAAACTGTGGAGTGCTTGTAATAGATAGTTCAGAGCAATTAAAGAGGACATGAATAATTGAAAAACAACAGTCCTCCCTAAAACTGTTATAATTAAGGAATAATTTCAACATATCAAATTGAAATTTCTAACGAATACCTTTCGAACCCAATTTGGAGGAATGCAGTCCATTGGAAACCACATCATCTGGAGATGGAACATCAAACTTGAAAGAGGCTGTATTAATAATCATGTACAGTTAGAATATATTATAGTAGGATACTTTGAGCACTATTTTTCAAAAGCAAAGCAGCAAAATGACTTCCAAAGGCAGCATCCAGCAGAAGAAACAAAAACCAGGAATTTTAAACAACAAAATGTGTCTACTGTTGGGAACTAAGTATTCTCAATTAAAGCAACGCTTGTGATAAATATCCTTGCCCTGCTATAAAATATGCTCAGACCTATGTTAATACAGGAATGGGTAGGAGAACTATAAGCTTTATGGAGTTCATGAAATTGTCCTTGGATATTCCCAAGTGGGTGGAAGTTATTGCCCTCTTTCACCACAAAACCATCATTCTGTTGCTGAGAATCTACAGCTTTTTTGGACATCTGTTGCGGCAGTGATGCAAAAAGAGACTTGGCCATGGTAGATACTCCAGAATCTTTGCATATGCCATCAACTGCAGGAAAGAGATCTGTTCTATAAAAGGTACCACCAATGTGAAAGGAACCTATGAAACAAAGAGACTTAATATATATTGGACATCCAGACACATGCAAGCTATCTGTTTGACAACATTCTAAAGAAAATTGAACCCTGATAAGGTTGGATGTCAAATGCCCTGTGAATCGAAATCTAACTAGGAAGCAACAAAGAGGAATATGGAGACAAAGAGGAAGAAAAAGAAAAATGAATGGCCCCGTCACACTGAATAAGAATGAGAGTAGCTCATTCTCCCATACTAAATAATATGATTAGCGACATCAATAAGTTAAGTGCAATTGTCACACACCTGTTTTCTTCCCACCGTAGGTGCAGTTGTTGACCAAAGGACTGCGAAGAACCCCACAAATATCACAAGCTGACAAGGTTTCATCATTATCGTAAGTACAAATGGAGCAACGCCACACACCACGATTGATAGTTTCTTCCTCAGAAGGTGCTTCCACTGCTGCAGGGAACAAATAGCATTCAGTTGGTTACAAGAAAGATACATGCATAAGTTCTGTTTTTGCTCCCTATCATATTGAGCTTTTATCTTTGAGTGCCTTTTAGTGAAATGTATAGCAACCCAACAAAAACAGCAAGTTCACCTAATCAGTAATTCGTCACAAATATAAGACATGACAAGATGAAAAAAAATCCACTCACCATTTTCTTCTACTTCATAGCCATAGTCATATTCATCATAGTCATCATAATCAGCAACATCATCGTAATCAACTCCATAGTTAACTTTTCGAGGCATAGTTCTAGCACCCAAGAAACAACCAGATGTTTCAATCCAAAACGAAACAAGTTCAAAAACAGAATATCAAATCTAAGCTAACAAAAAAGTAACTCATGAAAAAAAAAAAACAAAATGAGCTAAATTAGGAAATTTTGCATACCCTGTGGGGACGTTGCTTAATAATTATAGGAATACATGGGGAAAACAAAACAAGCTCTAATTGATACAAAGATTGAAGACTTATAAGCTCAAGGGACAACCTTAACCTAAAAATGAAAACGTTGATAACTGCAAATAGCCATAGAATGAGTTCGATTCTGATACGTAAGGTTATTGTCTCTCCCACATCAACGAATGCTGAAGCTGCACTGCACACAGAAACCCAAAATGTCATTCACTTCACCAAAACATATACTCTCTTTTCAGTTTTGTCCCAACTATTACAGATTTTAGAACCTTCCTCCCCTTCCGATTATTAGATACGCAAAATTTAAAAATTAAAAATTAAAAACGAAATACTCAACCGTGCGTACCACGGATTCAAATTATCTGACTTCGCTGAGAAGTGAGTTTCACAGGAGGTGGGAAAGAGTTTTCCGGCTTCTTAGTTGGGTACGTTTTCTCAGCAATCAAACAAGGTAGAGAGTAACGTGATTTGCATCTGTGTTTTCGGAGAATCGGATTGAGATAATTTTCATATAGAATTTAGTAAAACAAAATGAAAACGGATTTTAATTGTTTACAAAAACAGGATGGAAAGAGATGGGAAAATGAAAAGGGAAAGAGGAAGAAATAAAGGGGAGAACAAAAGTACCTGAGGAAGAAGGTGCTTCTCTGTGTTCTCTGGATATGACCAATGCTACAAAAAGAGTTGCCTGCTGCAAATATTTTTGGATTTTTCAGGTACACTTGAACTTCACTGCTTCCTTCTTGGATTACTTGATTAATAATTAGTTTCCCAATAAAAATTACTTAACAGCGAAAAGGGCGTAGTTCTACGCTTTGTCAAATTGGGCACAACCCTTTCTTGTTTTCTATGTTAATAATGATCCACATTTTTATTTAAATATATATATATATATATATATATATCCACATTTTGAATTTTAAATTTTTTTTACTTGAAAATGAAAAATACAAAACTAACCCTAATAGAGATGGTAACTTATATAGATAGTAATGAATACTTTTTAGTTGGTTATTCACGAATATCTTATATTTGGATTTTAAATAAATTTATTACTTATTTTGAATTTGAGTATTCCATTTGAATATTCAATACTCAAATCTAATTAGGTTAATATCAAAATATCATCAAGTACTTATACCCGATACTTATTTATAAACAAATAACGGTGCAAGAAAAACTTTTATTTTTTTTTTTGTAAAAATAAAATCTTTAAAAGTATATAAATCTTTGATTTGTGAATTACTCCTACTTATAGAATGATTTTGTTTTTCTCGTGATATTTAAGGTCACCTAATATCCATTAAGCCTATTTAATCAACTCATATTCAAGTATTGTTTTTTTTTAGAAAAACCATTTTTACTTAGAGAAAAAAAAAACCCTACAAGAAGTAAATATGAAAGTAAATACCCACAAGAAGAATGGATATAATTATATGTACAGGAGCAGCAATTATTTCTGCTACAACATTCAGTATACACGGTTTCGATGACTAACTTTTGGTGATTACTGAGTCCAGATGAACTCATCAAGACAAAATGATTCTCAAGTTTATGTTGTCATACAGGCAGTAAAATTTTGTATCATCTGTCATATAACACTGAGTTGCTCCATGACAGCAAGAAATCCCGAACCACATTTGGAAAATCTGCGAGTTTAAGTGACAATTCAGAAATTAAAACTGTCAATATTCTGACATAACTTGAAAATTGAAGTCCGAAGATAAAATTTACCTTGTATAATTTCCACAGCCACCGATGGTACATCTATCTCATCTTCAACCAGTCTGTAGACATCTACCAGCTAATAGAGAAACCATAGCGTTTTAGCAGTCTCGTAAAGAAGGTATTGCAACCACTAGATACTATCATTGACGTTCATACAAACCTCTTGAACATGGAGCTTAGAGTCTTCGGTCAGAGCAAGAAGAAGCTGTCTACGGATACCTTCATCAAAGAGGAAAAGACGAGCTCCATCTTTAATGGTGTCTGTCAGGTCCAGTTTTCTTTCAATTTTCCGGCTTCTTGAATTTGGCCTGAAAACATAAAAGAAGTTGAAACTTTATGTAAATGCTGATTCTTAAAAGTTTTTGGCAGAATCTAAAACAAGATGATCAAGTGACTTTCAACGAGATACATACGCGTTCTTCACTTGCAAGGCAGGGTTGCTACTCATTTTGGCCACATTTTCCTTCGCAAGGACAATAAGATTTTCAAGCCGTTTCCACTGGAAAACACCATCTTTAAAAAGAACCTGAGAAAGGAGGAATGTTATTCTTGATAAATATCTGAGAAGCCTTCAATTCCAACAACTTGGGTAGACCAATTATTGATCTACTAAAAAAATGAATAGACTCTATTGAAGAAGCAATAGATATAAAGATGGTAATCTATAACCAAGTTATTGGATTATCTGCAAATGGAGGCAATGTGCAAAGAGGCAACACAAAAAAAAAAAACATCCTGGTTTCCTTCTACACCTATTAAGTGCTACAAGCCTTTTTGAACCTAGTTATAGTATTATAAGAGTGACGACCATTCTAAATGAAGTAAAAGATAAAAGTGGCTTTAAACTAACCTGTATGAGGCGTTCACGAAGAGCTGGATTGGGATCTGTTAAAAGGCGCTTTGCCACATATGGGTAGGCAACCTAGTCAAATGCTTAGAATCAGTACAAGTATGGAGATGATAGGCATCATAATATGAATCAACATAACCTAAAAGAACAAATGTAACCTCACCTCAAGAAATTTGAAATCTGGCTTGAGGGTAAAACAGATGCCCTCTTGAGTCAGTAAAGAACGGATAACAAGGGAAAACCTCTCTGGGATCCGGATGGGATAGTTGTAAACGAGTTTATTAAATTGCCCTGCAGTAAAAATAGCAGAAATATAAGGTTTGCAATCTTCATAAATCAAAAGCAGGTTAAGAGGAAAGATTTATCAACTAAAAATAAGAAAAAGTAAGCCAGTAGAATAATCACAATTTGAAGCAAATGTAAAATGGTTACCAGTAACGCTTCGAAAATTAAAATCAGAGAGCCCTTTTCCAGCAGAATTCTGCCATATGGCTTCTAACGCTGGAATGATAGGAGAGACATCAGTTCCACTAGCCAAAAAACCAAGCCTGGTAAAATCATTTGCCATCTCAGCATAATCCTCGTTAACAGCATGGACAACAGCATCAATTAATATCTGCTTATTTTGCTGAAAGACAAAAGGCACGTCAATATGTAGAGTAACAAGGTCTGGTTAAAATGTGCCAAACTTAGTGAAAAATAGTAGAAACACTACCATTGTTATCAATTGCCCTTATTTGGCATACCAAAAGTATACA